TATATAGCCTACATAAACAGAATCTATATACATAAACACATTTTTTGCAATGATAACTCAAATGTGGTGATCAAACACTTATAATGATGTGACAAACATGGGCCTATGTAATGGAGGCAGGGTATTTAACAATTTAACAAACTTTATTATTCAAAGTGAGTCTGCTATCAGTGCACTTAACAGTAAACTTCACTTATTATAAATAACTTGAATAACATAAATAGAACAAAATATATATAACTTGAATTAAGAAATTCAACAATGTAACTGTGTAGGGCAAGCAAGCTACTGCCAAACCAACAGGGGCAGGTTTATGCAGGAAGCACAGCTTTTCCAAATGTAAACATCTAAAATGAATAAATAATAATAATGAATAATATAGAAAGATATCATATCATCATGCAAAACAAAGAATTAGAATCATTGTAATGTGACGATCAAATATAGGTGCGGGTGGGTGGCGGGTGGATAATTTGAAGCAGCGGACTCGGGTGAAGTTTGGGCTCATCCGCGCATCTCTACACTACACTGACCTGGGTCCAGTAGCAAACAATGGAGTGCGCTCTGCTGGACAAACGAAGTAATTACACCATTCAGAAGCATTTAATCTGCGTTATATGTTCTGTATATCGGCGACAGGCTCATATCGACCGATAATATCGGCTAAACGATATATCGGTCGGGATCTACTATATAGATGATAACTTTGTCTAGTGCTCTTATGAATGTTGTTAGCATGAATTTGTGAAAATGTAACTACAATACTCAATGAAATAACATAAACTTCTTCATGGCTGTTTGCTTTTTTTCCATTCCGTAACTACTTATTCTACAGATCTCCGCACTAGTGTTATGCTATTTTTTTTTTTGATAGCTTGCGTTTGCCTTACCGAATGTGATATCCTGTCAGCAATAACATGTCCGTGGGCTCTTTTGATTACTGTCAGTTTAAGTTCTAGCGATCACTGTTGCCAGATATTGCTATAAAAACAAATAAAACCCAAAAAATAAACAATAGCCTGAATAAACAGAAATGAGTTCAAATCTTTTTTTAAATAAGACAAGATAAAGACATTGCCAACCCTAAACTGCAACTTCCCGCTCTATTAACTTTCTAAAGTGTCAAATTAAGTAGAAAAGACAAGTCCAAAGACGCTTGTAATAGCTGGATCTGGCAACTGCGCCCGCGCACTCACTCACAATTCTCAAGCCTCGTTCACTCTGCCAGCGTCTCGCAGAGCTCATTTTCATATCACGGGCGCTAAACGGCAAACTGTCTAAACTTAATTATACATGCAGACACTAATTTGAGGAGCTTTAAACAGCAGATTAGTCATTTAGAGAGCAAATTTTATTTTTGAACATTAAAAATTGCATATGTTATATAAAGCTTGAAGCATCAGAATCGGCATCAGTATCGGCCAATCACCATGACAAGAAATGGGTACTCGGTATCAGCTGCTAAAATCCTGATCGGAGCATCCCTAATATAAAGCTTTTAAAATTACTAAACTGTTTTCTTTTGAACTCTATGTCTGATTAAATTCAGTTGACTCATTTGCATAGTAAGATATTTTCTTTCTGCTGCCCTATTCACTATATTTTTAATAACGACATCTCTTAATCTTCAGCAGATAAGTGAATCAAACTGTTCCCTGTGATTGGCTGTTTGCCACACATCACACTTTCGGGAGTTAATCACAAACTCTGGATCAAACTCTAGGCACATTCACACAGCAGCAGAATACGGTTGTCAGTCCTGTATTTGAGTCCTTAATACGGTTACGTTCACACACAGTTCAGTTATTTACGGGTGTGACAACCGCATTCTGTAACCGAACTCACACCTGTAAATTTTCAGGACTCACAACCGCATTCTCGGAACACACGCTCTTTGTGAACGGAACAGGACTGGACAACTAGTTGTCTGTCACGTCATACAGTGCGAGAGGGAGCCGCTCTGCCGCACAAACACGTGTCTAACGTGTGTTACGTGTTCTCATGTGTGTTTTCGGTAACTTACAGTGATGACAGAGAAATGAGCTGTGTGCCTGTCACCTGAAATTTTTAGATCCCGTCAGTTTTCCACCGGAGCCGTTCCCGTCAGTTTTGTGTTCTGTGCACGACTCAAACTCTGCTCTCCACCCAAATTTAAAGGCTGCTGTCGGTTAATGAAGATTTGACGGATGAACTCGCGGCTCGATTGGACTCTTGTCATGTCAGAAAGTGATAAGACGTAAATTTTCAGGACTCACAACCGCATTCTCGGAACACACGCTCTTTGTGAACGGAACAGGACTGGACAACTAGTTGTCTGTCACGTCATACAGTGCGAGAGGGAGCCGCTCTGCCGCACAAACACGTGTCTAACGTGTGTTACGTGTTCTCATGTGTGTTTTCGGTAACTTACAGTGATGACAGAGAAATGAGCTGTGTGCCTGTCACCTGAAATTTTTAGATCCCGTCAGTTTTCCACCGGAGCCGTTCCCGTCAGTTTTGTGTTCTGTGCACGACTCAAACTCTGCTCTCCACCCAAATTTAAAGGCTGCTGTCGGTTAATGAAGATTTGACGGATGAACTCGCGGCTCGATTGGACTCTTGTCATGTCAGAAAGTGATAAGACTTTCAGTTTTATGGACGTTGCCATCTTTGATTTTACTTTGGTCACTGTCGCTATGCTTACTGGTAAGGAATACGGGCTTGACTCCCGTTGCACGTTCATACAGACAGTATTCTAAACACAACTGTAAGCTGCTGTGTGAACAGGACATTTCGAGACTCACACCTGTAAAGAAAATGCGGTTTGTCAATCCCAAAAATTGACAGTGTGAACGTAGCATGTTAACAGAGAACATTTATATAGAGATTTGTGAGCCTGGCTGAACCTGATCTGTTGGATTTGTTTGGTTTTGTCAACTCTAAATTTACTCTGAAACAAACAAAAAAAGAAACCCTAACCAGAATGTCTTCTATTGATTGATCTGTCAACAGTGATGTTTTGAGCTGAAGTACTTCTTAAATTGACACATGCCTAGGGTGTGGCCTCAGAACAGTTTGAAACCGTGGCATCGGTTTTAATGAGACACTGCCTCACTGTTTCAGTCTCCTCGTACAGATACACAGCTGATTGGCTGTGGGATCCAGTGACTTGATTTGAATCCCTAATGGTTGAGGGCTCAGACATCATTTGCTCTGGCATTCTGGGCACATTTAATAAAACCGCCAGATTAACTGGAGCATTGTCAAAGCCTGACTCGGTGCACCTCGCGGTGCCGCCAGACAGCTGCTTGTTCCCTCCGAACGCGTTGCAGATGTCTTTAGTTACATATCCCTGAGCATCAGCAATCAAGCCATAAAACCCACTTACCATAAAATTAAGATCAACCCTTACTTCCTTTGAAACATATGGGCTCTCGCTGGCTATCGATCAAGCAGACATTCAGAGCCGGAGGCTGAGCAGCCAAAACACACTATGGCAGATGCATGCAAATGAGGTCGCGGTGGAAGCAGCAGCATCAACCCTAGCTTTTGTGATAGACTTGGGGGGGGAAAGACTGTGCCAGGGGCTTTTGCTGTTCACACGGCTTCCTGTTTTCTTCATGGTGTTTGAGAACTTCAGACACGCTTCTCACTTCATTCAATAATGAACTCTTCAGAGGATACAGAGACAGAACAGACAGATATTAGCATGCCATACTCTTGATAAATCTATGCTTATTATCTTAAAAAACATCTGTTTACATCATCTAGAAGCTCTTATGCTTCTCATCATCCAAAATTCTCATTCCTATCATGCCTTGAGCTGCAGCCTTCTCTATGGCAACTTCTGCACATTCGCTGAGGGATTTGGTGGAGTTAGAATACCCGGCAGTTCAGCGCAGGTGAGGGATTATTGCGCGACATCTCGGGATCCTTTCACGTCTGTGAAGGTTAAATCTGAGAGCTTAATCAATAGAATCCTCATGATACCATAACTTTTCTTATTAGCCCCAGCAGCAGCAAATGTCATGATGCTCCAGAGAGCAGCACAAACTAATAAAGAGCAGATCTGAAAATACACGTCTGAGACCTTATTTTTTTCAAAGATGCATCCTCGGGAGCGAGAGTCACTGAGCGATGTGAAAATGTTTTTTGTCAACAAACATGTGCAATGGTTTTATAGATGAACCGATAAATTATTACCTTGTTGTTATGACTGATAACTTATAAATGGCTAATAAAATAATTAACTGTTTTGTCTAACTTGTAAAGTTACTACTTGTAATGTAACTAAATATTTTTAATAGATTAAAAAAAAAACATTTTAATCTTTGTTTTAAAATGCGGTTAATCGCAATGAAACTGAGGTGGCGAAAGATCTTTTCCATATTGCAGCGAACATCCAAGTGGGGTGAATTAACAAAAAAGAAAAAAAGAACGGAAAGTTAATCAAAAGTGACTGTAACAACATTTTTTATGTTTTTGTTTCAAATAAATGCTGTTTCTATTCAGCAGAGTATACTGAAAATATATCAAGGTTTCAACAAAAATATCAAGCAGCACAACAGTTTTCAACATTGATGATAAGTTTTTGTATTACAAGGATTTCTAAAGGGTCATTTAACACTGAAGACTGAATGCTGAAAATTTAACTTTGACGTCACAGAAATAAATTACATTTTACAATATATTCAAATAGAAAACAGTTAATTTAAATCGTGATGATTTAATTACTGTTTTACTGTGTTTTTATCCAATTAATGTAAACTCTGTGAGCATAAGAAACTTTCAGAAACATTAAAAAACTTTTCTGACCTCAAACTTTTGGAATGTAGTGTGTCTGTTTGCCCATTTATGACGTTTTATTCTTTAACTATTTTCAAATGGCACTTCATCGTTCTTAGTGGGCATGAATCACTTAGTATTTCCTCTTTTACACTATGACTGAAGCTTGTTTCCATACTTGCAGCTGTCTTGTTGATGTTGTTAAAGTTGATATTTTGCTCTTGTTGCACCTACAGCAGTGCCACTGCCCCCTCACCAGCGGCTGACAATAAAGGACCTATTTGTGGATGGTAAGCCAAATGCCGAGCTACTGAAGAACCATTTGATCAAAGAGGGACGTGTGGAGGAGGACGTTGCGCTGCGCATCATAAACGAGGGTGCCAACATCCTAAGGCAGGAGAAGTGCATGCTAGAGGTGGAGGCACCAATCACTGGTAAGAAAGCAAGAACATATCTTTAGTAGGGCTTGAGGGAGATGATCATCTGTCCAGATTACAATTAACTTTGTTCTGACTTGCGGTTTTGTTCTGCTGAGGCTGAACCTAGTTCCTAAGAAAAAATGTTCCCCCCCAAAAAAGGTGTTTTTCCTTATGGAAACTTCATGCAACGTATTCATTATTACACTTCATTGGCATCAGCGTGTGTACCTTTAGCCAACAATAAAATAATAAATCGTAAAACGATTGGTTTGGTTGATAAGTAACTATTCAAGTAGGCCCATATTCTATCTGTGAAAGCAGTTTTCATCAGGCATACAAAATTGGCATTGCTGTTGAGTTTTTTGCAGAGATTACCTGATTTGTGTTACAAACTGTCACGGTGGAGAATCAGCTGCGGAAAACTGACTCATATGGAGATCCGTGTCAGTGCCGTTGGTTCATAAGGACAGATACTGTCTGCAGATCAGTGGCACGCAACACAGGAAACAGTCACAGATTCTGCCGTGGAATGTGGTCAGTGATGCTTCAGTGAACAGTTGGAGGGATGTGCAGAAACTAATCAACTAAATGAAGGGCTGCCTGAATGACAAGTCGACTATTTGCTCTAAAGGAAGATTTTTTGTCTGGTTTTGAGTGCAACTGACCGTGATTGAATTATGCTACTTTCCTGTCTACATTTAACTTTATTACATAAATCAGGGATACATGATATTTATTTTTAATTGATCGATTGGTTTTGTATCAGACAGCCAATAGTGGATATTGCACTTGCACATTTTCCACATTTCTGAATATATGTTACCTTTGTTGTCATCAAGTTAATCTTTAAAAATGAATAATTCATAAACGCTGCTAAATATAATCTTTAGCAGATCTCAAAATGAATATCTTTTTTTCATACTGTGAATAATTTTGTAAATTTCTAAGGTCTAAATTCACTTGTAGCATTTAAAATGATTGATTTTAATTTTATTTTTTATTTTTATATTTATATAAATTGTAATTTCAGTCAATTTATTAGCCATAACATGTAAATAATTTTCAGTATCTCCCATAAATTTAGTAGTAATATTTTTTAATTCATGACAAATGTAAAAAAATTGAGAGGCTGATTATACAAACACATTAAATAATGCCACTAAAAAATTTTTTTTTTTAAATCCTAGTTTATAAACTGGTTGACCTCAATAATTGGCTAGTTAGATGTTGGACGACTAGTCAACTATTTTGATCCATCCCTAGTCACTCTGGTTTGTGAGAAAATGCATAATTGTCAATTAGTTATGGGTTTTGCTGCTTTTATTTGACGGATAGATTGATAGAAGAAAGTGACAGAAAATCATATAATGGCCATTTACAGATTATACAGGAGAGTCTGTATAGCATCTGAGTAATCTTAAAGTGCCCATATTATGGGTTATGAAAGGTTCATATTTTGGTTTTGGGAGTCCCCAACAAAAGGTTGACATGCATGCAAGGTCAAAAAACACTTTCATTGTCTTATCATATGCATTTATTTTTTCCTTTTTTGCTCAACGACTCCCAAACTTTTCCAAACCCCTCCTTTGCGTGACGCTAAGTTGCGGTGTTTGGCCTGATGACCCAGTCTGTTGTGATTGGTCTACTGCATGCAGCGCATGTCAATAACAGAACGCCCATCACCTTTACTTAGCCCACAGCTCGGTGGTAAACACCCAAACAACCATGGTATATGCGTTAGCCCAATGCAGAAAAGTATTGATAAAGCACTGCAGTTTGTACACCAACTTATTGCTCTATTCTTTATCAGAACTCCAAGTAATAACAACTACAAACATTCA